CTCGCTCTTGCTCAGGCTGGTCTCGAACTCCTGAGCTCAAGCGATCCACCCGCCTCGGCATCCCAGAGTGCTAGGATTACAGGCGTGAGCTACCGCGCCCGACCGAAATACATTTCTAATTCATTTAACAACAGAGATTATTCCTCTACTATATAAAGAGCTCCTAAAAATGGTAAGACATGGATAACCAAACCAACAGAAAAATGGGCAAAGGACATGAAAAACAACTTCACAGAAAAACAAATTCAAGTAGCCCTTCAACATATGAAAAGATGCTCAACTTCATTCATAATAAAAGAAATGCAAAGTAAATCTACATGGAGATACCATTTTTTACCTATCATATTGGCGAAGAACCCAAAACTTAACAGCCTCACTGTATTGGCAGGGCTGTGGGAAAACAGGCACTCTCATGTGTTGCTAGTGGGGTGCAAATCGATACAATTGTTATGGGAGATAATCTGGCCACATTTCACAAAGTTATAAATCTATTTGCTCTTTTATCCAGCAATTCCATTTCCAAAAATTTATCTGACAAATGGGCACGTGTCTGCAATGACATATGTAAAGTAACCCACTACATCCTTTTTCATTGCAAAGAAGCCAATATCCTTCAACAGGAAATGGCATTAATACACCTATACAATGGAATACTGTGTATCTATAAAAAGAACACATAAATTTTTATGTACTGACATGGAAACAGCCAAAGTGAAGTGAATCAAGCAAAGTACAGAATGGTGTGTACCTTTTCATGTAAGAAAGGAAGAAAATAAGAGTATTCGTATCTTCTATTTCCATATAAAAACACTGGAAGGATACACAAAACACTAAGAAGTAATCTGCAAAGGATGGAGGGAGGAGAGAGATGAGGTCACAGGTTGGATTAAGACTTTTCACTGTATACTTTTTGTTTCTTTTACGATACATACCAAGTGCATGGAATGCCTGTTAACAAAATAAAATATCTCTTATTAAAATAACCACTTGGGAAAGAATTTCTTACAAAGTTAAACATATACCTACCACACGACTCAGCCATTGCACTCCTGATACATCATTTCCAAGAGAAATGAAAGCGTATGCCCATGTAAAGACTTGTATGTGAACCTCATAGCCCTTCACTTACAATAATAAAAAACTAGAAACAACCCCAGTATCCCTCATCAGGTGAATGTAAACTTAATGCAGTACAACCGTATGATAAAATACTACTCAGCAATAAAAAGAACAAACTATTGATACATGGAACAACGTGGATGAATCTCAAAATGATTACGTGGATTAAAAAGAGTTAAAAAAAAGAATGTATAATTATGATCCCATTTATATAAAACTCTAGAAAATGCAAACTAATCTATAGTGGTAGAAAATATATCAGTGGTTGCCAGAGGTTGGGGAGTCAGGGAGGAGGGATGGATTGTAAAGAGGCATGAGGAAATTTTTAGGGGATGGAAATATTCATTATTTGGTTTTGGTGATAGTTTCATAAAATAATACATATGTCAAAACTTATCAAAACTGTATACTTTAAATATGTACAGTTTATTGTACATCAATTACACTTTAATGAAGTTGTAAAAAAAAAAACCCACAAGGCAATTATGGCACATGGGAAAGGAATAAACTTGATCTACATGTATCTGACCAAAAGACCTTAAAAATGTAACTAAGTGAAAAAGCAATGCTGTATTTAGGTTATGGACATCCTTTTTTTAATGGCCAATGCAGAGGACTGACTGACTTATTAAATGGAAGAGGGAATTTTTAAAATTTGAAAGAATAGGACAGGTGTGGTGGTACGTCCCTGTAATCCTAGCTTCTTGGGACGCTGAGGCGGGAGGATTACTTTAGCTCAGGTGTTCAAGGTTGCAGTGAGCTGTGATCATGCCACTGCATTCCAGCCTGGGTGACCCTTTTTTAAGCTGACTCTTAAAAAAAGAAAGAATAGAAATCATATAGAATATATTCTTAGATCCCCATGGAATTAAACTTTCTTTCAATAACAGAAAGCTGGAAAATTTGGAGATTAAACAACATACTTTTTTCTTTTTTGGTAGAGAAGGAGTCTCACTACGTTGTCCAGACTGGTCTCGAACTCCTGGCCTCAAG